GGAATTCAGGGGGGTCCCAGAATCTCCCGGCGGCGGCTTTCCCAGCGCCCCCCCCCTCCCCCGGGTGCAGGATGGGGCGCAGGGCTGGGAAGGCTCCGGGTGTTGTTCCCCATCTCCTGTAAATACCGCGGGACTCCCGAGACTGTTTATGGAGCGTGGAGCCTCATAGACGTGTTTGTACACTACAAATTCTGCAGCAGAATATTTTTTAAAACGTTCGCTGTTTTTTGGGGGTTGTTTTTTTTTTTTGTAAGCTATATTTTTGTATATTTAATTGCTATTTTAAAATTCTAATAATGCGTCTTTTTTGCTAATCACACTATTCTTAAGGAAAAACGAGGAAAGAAAAAAAACACAACAGTTTGCATGTGATTTGACTTGAAATGTAAATAAAAGCAGGTTTTGGAAGCAGGGGTGTGTTTGCAGGGGGGGGGGCCCCCTTGGGGGGCCCCGGCCACGGGACAGGGTTGGGGGGGGGGAGTGTCTGTCCTCCCATGGGAAAACGGGAGCATCCCTCATTGCTCAGCCCTGTGTCACCCCAGGATTGTCCCCAGTGGGGCTGGGACCCACTGTCCCACCTCTGGCTCCAGCTCTTTCTGCAAGAAGGAGCTGGAAAATGGGCTGGTTTGGGGTGGGGGGGGGGGTCCCATTCTCCATGTCTCCCTCCAGCACCAGCAACATCCCTTGGGCCCGGAGCGGAGCTTTGCTCCCGGCCGGTGCCGGATCGGAGAAATCGGCACCCACCCTGGCGGGGCTGGCTCGCTGCCCCACGCACCCTTGGAAATCCCCGGCCGAGGGGGAATTTTGCACATCCCAGGCAGGGCCTGGAGGTTTCTTCTCCAAACAACCTTTCACAGGCCCGGCCCGCGGGCAGGGGCTCCCCGGGACGAGACCCGGCTGGACTAACGCCAACCTCCCACCGGCCACGGGATTCGGAGGAGTTCAGCTCCCAGCCTCCACGCTACGGGATTTCCTGGGGTCCAGCTCGATTCTTCATCTCCCTCTCACCTCGTTTCACCCACGCTCTTCCTCCAGCCTTCACGAAACAGGTGGAAAAAAAAAAAAATAAATCCCCTTTTCTTCCTCTCAAATCTCTCCCCCCCGCTGCCTTTCCCCGTGATGGGTTGCTTAGCTGGGGCCATCCAAAGTTGCCATCCCTGCAGAAACCTGGTGTGGAGGAAGCAGGGCTCCCACCTTGCCCTGTCCTGCCGTCCCCCTGTCCTGCTGTCCCCCCGTCCTGCTGTGTGTACCCCTGCCCCGGTCCCTGCCCAGTGCGGAGGGCTGCTGCCCTCTAGTGCTGGCTGCACCCCCCGAGCTGGGTGCTGGGGGGTTAGGTCCCACCTGGAGATGTTCTTCAACTTCTCCAGAAGGAAACGTGAGGAACCACCTTCTTGCTGCCCTCCTAGTCATCTTCTGGAAGCTCCTGACAAGTCCACAGGCATGGAGACCTCGCTGGGTGAAGATTCCCACTGGTGGGACAAAGCAGCAGAGGGTCTGGCCGAGCTGCGGTCTGGATCTAGCAGTAAGACGCACAAATCACAATTATTTTTGCACAATTATTTTCATTACTTCCATCCCACGGTTCCTGCTCTGGAGAGATGCCTTGCTTCGACCTCCAATCCAACTCACGTCATCCATACATTAAAGGGCCTCCAAAGCACCGCTCATCACCTACCACCAAAGAAGTCTTTCACCAAACCCTAAAATGCTGCAATTTGCCCTGGAATGATGCTAGAACCACCCCCCTTGCTGGACTTACCGGTGCTGGGAGCCTGCTGCTGCTAAGAAAGCCACGTCACGTCCCTCAGAAAGCCTCGGGGATTTGAAGCTGAGCTGCAAAAATAAGCCCAGACCCAACCCCAGTTGTGCACAAATCCACCCTCTCCCAGCAGCACAGCCCCGTGCCAGCCTTCAGGTTTTAGTCAGACCTGGTTTAGAAGCCTGGTTTTAAGGTATCTGCTTAAAAACGTTACTAGCCGGGGATGGGACCGAGCATCAAGAAGGGATCCTCACTACCAGCAACAGGCAAATACTGAATTTTTACATTTTTTTTTTCCCCCTCCATGAACATGCTTTGAAATGCAACTGATTTCCAGAGACCAGAACATGCAGGGAGTGAAGAGTAATTGAGGATTGCCGACAGCTATTTTTAATAAGTTCCTAAAATCAACTGAAAGGGCTCGTTTACACCTATTTCACCCGCATGTTCTTGACACCCATTCAGATCAACATTCATCCCTTTGCTCCACAGCTAGGAAGAACAAGGCAAGAAGCAAACAAGAGAAAAGTTTCAAGAATATAAAAATAACTGTAATATTTTATTACAAGAACAACAACAAAAAAAATTTACAAAAAAGTACAATACATCAAGGACTTTGGTGTTGGACATGACCACACAGGATCTACTCAAAATCCACAGGAAAAAAAAGGTGTTAACACACACAAGCGCGCAGAACGAACAGGGGGAAGAAAACCCGCAGGACGCTGCTCCCAGGGACACCAGCCCGGCACCTACTCCAGCGCCTCGGGGCAGGGATTTCTTGCAGGCTGCGGGGGCTTCTCTGCTCTCCACAGCTTCCCTCTGCGTAACAAAATCATTTCAAGGTGGCTCCTTCCTTCCGTCGGTCTTCAGCTCCCAAAGCCTACTGCTATTAAAAAAAACAAACCAGCCATCCTGTATGTTAGGAGGATTCAGAGGAGGATTATACACCCTCCCCACACCGATGTGGTCTGTATAAAACCCCTAGGACTAATTAAAGCTGAGAAGCCCGCGGCAGCCCAGCGCATCGCTGAAGTATTACACCAAGGAGCGAAGTGGGTCCTGGGCACAAAGGCATTTCAAAAAGCCGAAGTGTGTTTCTGTTTCTTTTCCACAAATCAAACCAGGGCCCGAGTTTTGACTGTGAGGGTGGGTGACCTGGCCGAAATGGCAGCCGGCTATGTGCCGTGTGTTACCTTTTATATGGTAGAGAAAGAGTTAAGGCAAGTCTAGAAAACCTACAATCAGCAACTGGGAAGTGGAGTTGGTTTTAATACACCTACTTAGGGTTATCTTTTGTGTGATTTCACAAGAAATGAAGAATAAATCAGGGCTCAGGTGCCCTTTGTCCAGAGAAGCTGTGGCTGCCCCATCCCTGGAAGCGTTCCAGGCCAGGTTGGATGGGGCTCTGAGCAACCTGGACTAGTGAAGGATGTCCCTGCGCATGGCGGGGGGGTTGGAACTGGGTGATCTTTAAGGTCCCTTCCAACCCAAACCACACAACGATTGATTCTGTGTTATCCTGCTCCAAGCCCTCACCTCTAAAAATACCAGGTTAGATTGAACGTGGAGTGGCATACAGCTGAAACCTGCACTATACTGCAGGAAAAGCACACAAACTGTCTTCCACAGACAGCACACAGCAAAGATTACCTTTCATGTGAACACTACTCTCTTTTTCTCCCCCCCATTTTATTGTTGTTCTCAAATTACTGGATGTATTCAGGAAGTTCCAGGCCCACGGTTAACTGAAGTTGAGAAAATGCCTTGTTTTACGCTGTGTCTGCTGTCTGGAACACTTACCCAGCAGAGCTGACAGCACAGGCTTTGACAGAAACAGAAACATCTAACCTTAGCAAAAAGTACGTCTCCCAGATTTGTAGTTTCTTCCCTTTTCAGGCCCAAAAGAGAGGCCGGTGCCGTGCTACAAACCCAGCGAGCTGTGGAGCACCTTGTGAGTACTCTGATCTCGGGCTGCAGCAACAGGTAGAGCTGGACACGATTTGCTGTGCTGCTCCTGCACCTCTACTGCACGTCATTGCGGCCAAACTGCAAGTTACCGAACCAGCACAGGCTGTCCAGCGCTGCAATTGGTCATCAAAAGGCGCATCGGGATCAGAGAGCTGAAAATCAACTTCTCTGGAAAGAAACCATGACCTTAAAAGATGTGTTCGAGCCAGGACGACAGCCATTCCGATGTCCTGCGATAAACCCCAATAAGTATGAACTGAACTGGTGCGCGCTTGCATTTCCACAAAAGGCTGCTTCAGCTTGCTCACGGAAGGACGGCTTCTACATATAGCTGAGCTGCTCAGCTGGAAAGCCAGAGCACCGTATTGCAGAGAACACTCTGAAGTAGTATCTCCGTTTAGCTTACATCATCAAGGGAAGGTGCAGATGGCTTTTCAGAAAAGCAGCTTTTTCCACACTCCCTGACTGGAGTGCAGTTATGCTGAAATAACTGATGCTAGTAGCACGGCCAAGAGAACACGATAGAGATCATCTTCATTTCATAACGCGAGGTCCAAGCCTGGGAAGAATTTCTGCAAAGAGCAGAGTGAAGCAGAGACAGGAGGAAGGGCGGGCAGATTACAAACCATGCGCATGCTGCTTTTCTTTTTTAAACTGCTGTCTGCTATCAGCATCTATTCAGTGTGCAGTAAGCCATTTCTAAATCCGCATCCTGAGAGCGCAGCGTCTTTAAGGGTTCCAGACTGCAGCAACCCAGTTTGCAGGCTGTATGCAAGACGGCACGCACAGAGAAAACAGAGGAGAGCACAGCATGCATATGGGAAGGAGAGGTTTCCCCCGGAAACCGAAGTAGTTTAGCAGTTTATAAATGTAAAATGGAACATTACAGAGAAGATGCCAAGTGTATGACTGAAAAAAAAAATAATTTCTTTGGTATAGTTATATGCAGCCAAGTTTTACACAGAGAAAAAAAAAAACAAACAAACAAACAACCCCCCCCCCACTTCATCCTCAAATTTGCTCTTAGCAGATCTCAAAGTCAGAGGTTGACAGACACTCCCAACACTATGCCAGCACTATGGCATACCCCAAAGGGTACTGTGGTCTGTACAGAAGTGTTACAGGCTGAAATCAGAATCAACCTGAGACACAGGATTTGTGCCTTACCTTTTGTCTCTCGTATACATAGATAAGAAGCTGTGGTAACAGGAATAAAGCCTTACTGACAGCACAACGGTGTTTGACAGGCCACTGTAGGGTTCAGAGGAGACAGAAGCGGTCTGTATGGTTTTTACATGCCAGGGCTGTGCTGATATTCTTTCCCCTTTACAGACAATTAACAGCACAATGTGAACACAATGCCTTTCGTTTGCGGAACACAAAACGCTGCAGCTGAACTCTATAAACTGTGAACTGGGTAGACATTCAGCACTCAAAGGAATCTTGATGGAAGGAATAGAGTGCACATCTATTATGTCACCACCACTAAACATGGAAAAGACTACCTAAAAAGGGCTGTTTGATGTGACTGAATGCCCTACAGATGTTCCAGACAGAACCACCACCTTGGGACAGTACATTTGCATATATACTCCTTTTAAACAAACCTGTGTTGTAATCGAAGATTGGTTTCAACTGTTTACAGACAGAAACGCAACAGTCCTTTCCTTTTCTGATTAGGTCACGCACAATTAGTTTAACAGTCAGTGAACAGATGTTTTAAAGCGAAACTTGGGCTTAGTGACCCAGGAAGTGCCACAACTTCATAGGTCCAACGTATGGAATCTGCATGGAATTAGGCTGAATCCAGGAGTTCCAGAAGAGCACCGACTGCACCAAAATAACCCTGAAGAGAAGACAGGAATATATATTAAAAACTCAAACATGGGCACACACCTGACACAAGAACAATATTGCGCATACAGTGTAATTTTAACAACTTATAAAGGACGGTGGAAAGAAATAACTATAGGTAGGTACATTACAAAATAGATTCTAACTATAATCGCTGTATTGGGAAGCAGAACTGCACAGAATCCTCTATACTGTCAATAGTCTTAAAAGAAAGTTCACAAGCAAGATGAAATTGGTAGTAAACAGTTCTGATATTAGCTACTGGAACAATATATATGTTTTTTCTGACCCTACACTGGGCATTGCAGTAACTGTGGCTGTAGTAAAAAAGCACTGGGATCCTGCTGCACAGTGTGTATCATCAACAGCTACAGACTCCACACGGCTGTTTCCAGAGCGTTCGAAGGATTTGCATTTTGCCACGAGACAAAATAAATTTAAAAAGTTAATTTCACCTCATGTTCCAAGAAAAGTGCTTTTAACTGTCCCTTCGACCAGTAGTCCAAAGCATATGCCAGAAGCCTCATTGAGATTGTATTGATCCGAAGGAAATTGCCAACGAACACCACTCGATTAATGTTCTGCAAGTATTAAGGGGAAAAAATAAAAAAGGAACATTAAAGCTAAATTCCATTTTCTGCTTGCAACGATGAAAACCCCACCTTAGAGTAAGAAGAAAAAAAGTTACACTTCTAGTGCCTTTTAAAAAAGCACAGCATATTCAGCTTTTCAAATACATTTTCCACTGAGACTTGATGAAAAACAACCAGCTGAAAGCAGAGGGAAATCACCAGTCAACACCAAAGCAACCAGATCCAGAGAAACTGCATCACCCCAAATAGCTGCTCCTGGGAGCTAAGGAGTGTAACTGCCTTGGTGAGTGGGGATGGGAGCTGCAGAGAGAAGAGTTATAATCCACTTGCAGCTTTCTGAATTTAGAATTCTGAAATTGGACCCAAAAGAGACAATCTGCAAACAAGAGACCACACTGAGTCGGCTTGGGGTCTGGCAGCAGCAAGAGACAGTTCAGAACAGCAAGGTGAGACCAGAAAGGTGCACTGAGATGGTCAGGAACTGCACTGGGAGCGGCCAGAGACTACATCGAAAGACAAAAAAATAGAACTGTACTCAGCACTGGTGAGGCCGCACCTCAAATACTGTGTTCAGTTTTGGGCCCCTCACTACGAGAAAGACCTTGAGGTGCTGATGGGCAGCGAAGCTGGTGAAGGGTCTAGAGCACAAGTCTCATGAGGAGCAGCTGAGGGAACTGGGGTTGTTTAGTCTGGAGAAAAGGAGGCTGAGGGGAGACCTGATCGCTCTCTACAACTGCCTGAAAGGAGGTTGTACCGAGGTGGGGGTCAGTCTCTTCTCCCAAGTAACTAGCAATAAGACAAGAGGAAACGGCCTCAAGTTGTGCCAGGGAAGGTTTACATTGGATATTAGGAAAAATTTTTTAGCGAAAGGGTCATCAAGCATCGGCACAGGCTGCCCAGGGAAGTGGTGGAGTCACCATCCCTGGAGGTATTTAAAAGACATGTAGATGTGCTGCTTAGGGACATGGTTTAGCGGTGGACTTGGCAGTGTTAGGTTAATGGTTGGACTCGATGATCATAAAGGTCTATTTCCAACCTTAATGATTCTACGATTCTATGAATTAACTGCTGAAAGTGTCAGGCAGGATCTGCAGAACATTATAAACATCCACAATTCTCTCAGAAAGCAGTACCAGCCAGGTCATTTTAAGACAGGCTGTTTTTCAGACTCTTCCACACTACCTGGAAACCCACAGATCTAACTACAGCCTTTCTAGCTTAGGAATTTGAATAGAATGGTTGATTTTTCACTATGAGATCCTTATACTGGCCAGGAGCACTGATCATCAAGTGCCATCTACTCTCTCTGCCCCCAACTCTGGCCTTTGACCCATCATTAAAAAAGCTGAATGGCTCTCTACTGTTACTTTGGGGGTGGCAGGAAGGGAAAAAAAAAAAAGAATTAGAAACCCATAACCAACACAACTCTGAATGAAAGGAAAAGACCAACCAAGTAGTGATATTTTGGATTTAAATCAGACTTCTAGACAAATTTTCAATCCTAAAATAGTTCTCCTGAGCCAAGTGATGAACTCTGAAGCTTTCTTTTCTCCAGCAAGAAAGTAATTTTCAGTTCCTCCTTTTACCAAGGAATCAGGATCAAATCCCATCTGCTCCTTCACTCATGTCCTTCTATGGATTTTCCTTCCATACCCACACTCATTAATGCTTTCCCCCTAACTATTCAGCATCCTCTTTGCATTCAGCTGTGTACTCTAGAGTGAGAACTCAACAGACGTATTGTGGGCAAGACTGTTTATAATATGTCTTGCCTTGTTTCAGCAGTAAATGAAGGTAAATAGTGAGCATCTGCCAACAGCAACAGGAGCCAGGAGGATGCTTCACCCTGTTAGCTCATCCCATAGGAACAGGCTCAGAATGGAGTGGAGAGCATGTCTCTGTTCTTTCATAGCCCTGTACAATGCTGCTTGACATGAATGCAACAAGGCAGCACTGTAAAGAAGCTGAAAGCACAAAGATACAGGAACGGCCGTGGAAGTGGTGGGACCTGACCGAGAAATCGAGAGCAACTCGTAAAAACAACACAGGAAAGGCATCCAGCCTCTACACCCCTCTGCCCCACCGTTCCTTCTCTCTCAGCGGTCCCAGGAGCTGTAGTTTATCGCACACCTACCGTTCCTCAAACCACCGCAGAGAAGTTGTTGAACTCCTGACCACGCAGAGGACCTAATGAGACCAACAGCCAACCCCTAACTCATTCACAGCTCTTCAGTTCACAGCACAATGGTCTGGCTCAAACTACACAGACGGGCAAGGACAAAATTTACTGAAGAATCTAAACTGAGCGGATTACAACTTACTGAACATCCAAAAAGATGAGTACGAACACGCACCTACAGAAGCGTATGCAGGGAAAGAGAGATACTGCGTGACAGTAGCACACAAGTGATGCTTCAGACAGGAAGCAATGAAACAGATTTCCCCTTAATACCTCATTAAGTGCACACATCCGTGCTATGGAGCCAATGTTATTAGTGATGGTTATTAAAGTAGCCTTCGCGAGGTCCTCTTTGCTGACAGATTCCCGCTTCTCCTTGCTCATCATGTTTCCAAAGCTGTAAAGACAGGTTTTGAGTTAAAGGTCCGTTTGCATCAGAATTCCAGGAGAAAATGGGAACTGCTAATTTAGCCAAAGCGATTCATCTTGAAGTATTTATTTTTAATTTTAAAAAGCGTTGCTATCAGTAATTTAGATCTGTTAAAACAGAACAGCAGAAGGAACGGTAGCTCTCCTAAGACATGTAAATCCAGTTTTTCATCCTTGCAGAATCTCTAGTGAAAATAAAAATCAGAATCAGTCAAGTCATTACCTGGATGCTACAGCCCAGCCTGGCAATCCAAATCGCTCGTAGTCTCCTCCATAAATGTCCCGCACTAGTTTGTCGACTTTGGTACTGTCCCCATGGGACGCCATCTCTAGGGCCTCTTCAAAGGTGGAGCAACCAGTAAGAAGGCAGCAGAGACCAAAAAAGGTTCCCCCTCCAAGGCTGCAATATAAAGCAAAATGAAAGTCACCCGCCTTGCTTCTAAAGGCACAGAGAAAGAAAATGGCTCGTTCACTGAAAGCTCGGATTACTCAGCTACGCATCTGAGTTAGCTCAGGTTGCCCCATTCCTTCAGCTTCTTTTCTTCGCAGTGACAGCAATCTTGGAAGAGCAGCAGTTTTCTTTAAATCTGTTACTTTCAAATAACTTACAGCCTTCTGCAGAGGGCATGTTTCTAAATGAGAAATTAATTTTCTTATTTTACAATATCCACCTTCTTCCCAGCGCTCAGAGAAGTCAAAATAAATATTAGTCCTGAGGGATAACTGGAGCATTAGGGCACAGCTATTCAAAATTTAGGAGAAAAAACTATGTCCTGTTCACTTTACTGTGCACACATGCCAAGAATGATGTATAGTAAGAGTGAGATCTGTACTGTGAGGGTTTTTTTATTATTATTGCTAACTTTCAGGAAATTCAGGAAAGCTTAAAGCCACAGAGCTCTTTGGCTTTTCCTGGCAACAAGAGCCACATCTTCGAGAAGGCGAGCTGCAGCACTCCAGCAACTGTCTGGGGAATTATTGCCGTGCCAGCATCCCTTCCACCAAAACGAGGTAACTTTTGGAAGTCAGGATGCAAACCTCTACTGCCAGGATCAAAGCTAACAGTTGTTAACATGATCATTAGGAGTATATTTGGGATAATCCCAAACTATGGGATCTCTCTGATGGCAAATAAAACACTTTAATTTCTGCAGCAGGGCAACTGAAAAAACAGCTGCTAAAGAGACTGGCTGCAGTAAAGAGACCAAAACATGAAATTCAGATTCTCTTTTCCAGAAGGGATCTTTGTTGGCAGAGGTAAGGGACTGCAGTAAAAGCAGGAGCTCGGTCATTCAACTCACCACCTTTATTGCAGCTTGTACCTGAAAATGTCATCTACAATGCAGAAATGCATTCCACACTCTAAAATAAAACTCAGTTTACCTCCACACAGAACTCACCTGGTGCCCGTTACCCGTTTATAGTTTTCTTTTGAATACACAGCCAGAATGCTGACCCCTGAGCCAATGTTCACCAAAAGGAGAGGATACGGATTCTCCAAGTTGAATGGGAGCTTCTGACATCTTTCAGCATCCGTCGGGTTTTCAAAATAGTAGCACTCTGAATGTCCATTGAATCCAACTGAATCAATGTACAAAACTCCTTTAATAAGGCAATCGAGTTCATCTAGCTTACAAAGCTGAAGGTCACCCATCTGGCGGAAAAAAAAAAAAAATGAAAGAAGAATATTCAAGAAGTAGTTAGGGATCTCAAGTGTTTATGCTCAGGGCTAGAAAAATGCATTCCCTGCCAGCTAAATTCAGCTATCTCCATTACTCCCTGTAGTGGCTGAGAAAGAAGTACAGATCACAGGAGGGCTCCATCTTTCTCCACGCACACGGACTGCCAACTACCCCAGCCCTAAAGTGTGCAGACATGAGAGAGGAGGGAATCGAACAACAGGATCCACAGATGGATGCCAAAAGGATCCCATCAAATTCCATGGGCCTGATTTAGGACCTGACTAAGGCACTAGCATGAAAAGCAAGGAAAAATGAGAAGGGAATTAACTGTTTGACAAAAAAAAAAAATCCCCTAAAACCCATCCCCAAAAACACACAAAAAAAGGAAGTTATGAAATTGTTTTCCCCTCATGTCACTGCCTCAACTGCAAAAAAAGCCTCTTTATTTGGTGCATTTTTTCAAGCCCTGGTTAACCAAAGTATTTATCACACATGTTTTTCACTTATGAACAAGAATCAAACTTATAATGAAGCCACATGATGATGTCAAATCCCAACTACTAACCTCCTTTCAGTTTATTTACCACCAAATTTCACTGAACCTCAGTCAGCTCACTCACACGTGTGTTAGAAATGACACCACATGAGCAAAGGAACAATAAAACAAATGTTAAGCATGTGAAAGACAGCAATGAGGAAAAAACCCACAAGACTGAGATCACCATAATCAGAGATTAATAACACAGAGAAAGTCTTGTAAGAGCACACACCATGGAAGTTAGTGAATAATTTTAGAGTTAAAGGAATGTTACATGCACTTTCAGAAAGAAAGTATCTTAATCTGGAGATGTTAACTTGACTCCACATGCTATTTCCTGAATCAAGCTTAATTTGAGTTAGGTACACTCTTCCAAAGCTAAGATTTAGAGAAGTTTTAGAGTCTGCAGAGAAAGTTTTCTAGTTTTAAGCTTTTAAAAAAATTCACTACCAGATCCTAATCATATAGAAGCCAAAAATGCATACTGTGCGAAAGTCCTGCTCAAATTTGTACGCTCCACCTCCCGTGGCACATAAGGTAGTATGGAGGCTTGAGAAGTGTTTTTCGCTTCCCATTTGAATAAAAGCAGGCATGTCATGAGTAGGAAAGCGTATAAAGTGCAGATTGCCTTTACGTCCACACAGGGTAAGGTCCTTTAGTTCAAGGTGCACATCCCGAATGCCTGTAGATCCATAGGCTACATTTGATGTCAGGTATTTGCGGATGCTTTTGAGATTTTCCACTTCCTCCTCCTCCTCTTCAGCAGTGATGTCCTTTGGTTCAAAATAAACAAGTTTGACCAAGGTCCCTCCAATATCCAAGCCAAACCAAGGAAAGACTAAAAAGAGGAGGAAAAAAAAAAGAAAAAGAAACAGGGCACGATACTGTCATACCAGCAGCAAAATAGTTATAAACCGAATTAATTAATGCAATTCTCTAGGGACTACAAAATGCAGGCCTGTTTGATCTGTTCATTTTCAAGTGGAAAACAAAGAAAGAAATGTTAGCAGTCTGGTCTGCCTTTGAGAAGTGCAGCTGAGACTCCTCTGTACATGAGCACGACTCCTGTTCTGAGATACCTCCTGTTCAGGAGCTCCCAACATTTGATATGCAATACTCAAAATACTTACACCACCACCATGCAGCACTGAAGATGCACACAGCGCTGGTCTGACAGTATCCATACACTCGCCTGATGCTGCCGCAGTTTTAATCCCCAGCTATTTTATAAAGTTCTGATTCAGAGCCAGAGCCAAAGATAATACCAGTGCTTTTACATCAAAGGGATGTACAAACGTTAACTAATTACAACACATAACTGAGGTAGACAAGTAATCTAAGATGCCCCAGGGAGACAAAAACAAATGTCTAATTGGATTATTTTATTAGTCAAATTCCCCCATGGTACAAAATATGCATTAGTGTCAGGCCCAGCAACATTTACAGCTGTATTAGATAATGAGCTTCTTGGAAAAGATCAAGAGAAAACCCTGATCAGATGGAATCTGCGATTAGAGCTGAGAACTGGAACAGATTAATATTACCATTAATGAGCTAAAGGATAGGCTAGAGCTAACAAGATACATGGGCTCCAGAGCAAAGAGAAAAAATGTAGCCACATGTTATGGCTTATGGCAGCAGGATTAAACCCTTACGCTTTTTTCCAAAAATAAAAAAAGGAATGCTTAGCAAATAAACCTGAATGTGGCGTAGATGTTACTAACATTCCTCTGGAAAGAAGGATCTCAGGTTTTAGTAAAATTCTTACATGTCAGAGACAGGCATGATAACATCCTACTGTTATTTTTGCAAAATACGTTTGCTCATCTGCAGACAGATGAGCGTGCGACATGAAGAAGCCCTTGTTCCTACCGCCACTTGAAAGCCGGTATCCTTCTGGTTAAACTCAGGGAAGCAGCAGCAGCCACCCCCAGACCGCAGAACTGCCAAGCGAGAACACGTTCCGCGTCCCCCCGTCCCAGCAGCGCAGGAGATGCATGCCAAGGCCCCGCCACTCGAGCTGCAGGAGCACTAAGCAGTCAGAGAGCAATACCCAAATACCCAGAGGCAGCACTTAAGAAAGCCGAACAGCAAAGGAAACAACTCAGGGACAGGAGGGGAACTCACTCCGAAAGAAAACGATCTTTGAAAAGCCACAAACCCGACAGGCAAGCACATGTTTGAAGACGAGGTATTCTCTCCTCGGCGGGTTAACTTGGTTGCTGTATAGAGTGGAGGTAAAACAGCCCCTTTTAGAGCATCACAGTTCCCCAAGAGCTGCTAGAGCCATCAGTTACCCACGTTATTTTTAAACCACTCAGCTATTTTTACATATTTACATAGAGGCCACCCCCAACCATCACCAAATGAAATCTTGGAAGAAGATGCAAACTCTATTTTAGGAGGCATATCCAAATCCCAATCACTCTCTATTTCTAATGCATTTACTTCAAACAAGAACAGACATAAAAATAACTATTCATGAATGAGGGAGAGACAAATTTGAATCACAGTCCAACGGAGAGAGAAAGCAGGAGCAATTCAAGGACTTTTTTCATGACAACTTCTTATTCCATACTCCAGAATTCAGAATTGCAAACTCTATCAGCATTTCAGGATGGAAAGCCTACTAAGTGCTTTACTTGGAGAAAAGTTTAGCATATGTATGTGATTTCAAGACTCCTTCAAGAAAACTTTACTGTAGCTAAATTAAAGTTACTTCTCAAGAGAGGAATGTTGGCTGCCTGGGCCTCATCACGTAACATCAGAACCATATCCCCAGGGACACCACACCAGGAGGAGCACCCTCACAAGAAGGGGAGTCCAAGACCCCAGAGTATAAGTGAAGGGAAAGGCGGGGAGGACAAACTCCAGGATTTCTGTACCCCCAAAAGAAAGGGCCTTGTCATGGAGGAGTGTGGCAACAGCAGTGACAGAGACCACGACCAATTCATCAGGGAGATGGACGCCCTACGTCGGCACGGCAGGCACCAGGGCAGAAAACAAAACCCACCAAGCATCCACTTGCTTCACTCACTTGTTCTTCCTGACACCTTAAACCTAAAAACACATACACAGGCCCCCCTAATGCCATATTAAAGCCAGCTCCAATATGGCATATACATCCGTCAGTCAGCAGTTCCCATACTAACGGCAGAATAGGACATCCCACCCCCTGCAAGTGTTTTGCCTTTGTTTGAATGAAGTCCCAGATTTATCAACTAACTACCGCAGAAAAATGCTTTGAACAAGGATCATGCTCTGCTATTGAGAGAAGAAGCAATAAAAATACCATCAACGTCATGCAGGTAAAAATAGGGCATCGGCAGCCAAACCAGAGCCTTCTGCTGCTGCTCCAGTCCCTCCAGTGACTGGAACTGGTAAAGACCACTCTATTTAAATACCCAGTTCATGTACAGGATCACTAAAACCAGTTTCTCCACATGCACTGTGCTTTTCAATACTGCTTAAACTCTGTTGGAAAACTAACAAGCTCTACGCAAGAAAAGGAACAGGAAGAGGCTTCCCATGTTACTCAGCAAAGTCTTCTCCTGTCTGTTGTGGTCACTGACATCTTGGACTCCCTTTTCACAAATTTCCCACTCTTAAAAGCACTCGGCTGCTTTGTCATCTCTGCTCTGACGAAGGGATTGGTTCCTGAAAGCTCCTGTCCTGGTGCTGGGAAACCTCCTTTTGATTTCTGGAATATATTTGTTCCTGTCAGGACATGCAATTTTTTTTCTGCATTATAAAGCCTGCACTACTGCACTACTACCCCACCCTGATATTTAGAGACAGCAATCCTCTCCCCAACCTCACTTTGCCAGGCTACGCAAGGGTAAAAATGGAGAGAGCATAGGATAGGAGAGAGAGCAAGGATCCTGGAGATGCCCTCATTGGGGTGCAGCAGAAAAGTATCCAAAAACCTAAGGCACGGTGCCCCGCTGAAGCCACGTAACTGAAAATGCCATACGGGTTGCTTCATCACAAGCTAACGGGCTTCCACTTCAGAGTAGACACTCAGCTGGCAGTACAAACGTTTGTTCAGTAGAGTAACACTAGTTCATTTTAACGTTGGTTGTGAAGTTCACACACCAAACTCCTACATTCAGGAACACAAACCTTCCAGATTTTAGGGCATGACAATCACCAAGTCAGTCCTTCAGTCTAGAAGCTTTCCTAGTCACAAAAAAAATACAGCAGCTCCTTATAAACTTCATCCCAGCTTATTCTCAGTGCCCTTAAGACCTTCAATTTTTTAATATATATAAATTTGTTTTTTATTCTGGTGTTGCTATAGTTGCCACTGAACCAGCAGAACATCAAGCGTGGGGTTAAACCACACCAGTTATCCACTGTCTGGCCCACCAGAAGACATGGCTAACGGGGAAATAGGAATGATGCCTGCAGAGCTGGGTGTAAACTGCAGTCAGGTTGTGTCCAGGGCTTACCAGTCTTCGCTCAGCACTGGCCCCGCTAAATCCCAGCTGCCCCAAAAAGAGCATCCAACGCCCTGTGGAGGGACACAGCCTCGGACCGGAGCTGGCTTCACACACCCGTGCAGCACCAGCTGCAGAAAGCCTCTGCATGGAGCAGCTGGTGTTCTCCATCTGCCAACGGCTCGGCTATACCTTCAGTAAGTCACCAGGGATAAATTCTGAAAGACAGCCTATTAAGGTAATTAACTTAAACCAAATGATTCTTAATTATGGATCTCTCATTATATACATCCCAGCCACAGGTTAAGAATCCAGGGAAGAAGCATGCTAGCTCAAAATTAAGTGCTCCTTCACCATACTGTAAAGTAAAACCTGCAGAGAGTACTCAAATAATTTGGGGCACGGACAAAACTTCCCCTATAAACCCGTTTTTGTGGGAAAGGGGCATGGCACACAAACAAGAGGAGGAAATTATTTCAGCGACATGTAGAACGGAGGGTTTTTTTCCTCACGCTGACAGGAAGTCAGCCAACACGAACATGCAGGGCAGCGACAGCTCTTCCATATCTGAGCACTAGAAAAACCCATGCCTCCAAAGGGAGGAAGGAGGAAGCTCTCTTGGATGAACGCCATCACCATCTGCTACTGAGAGTTCTCTTAAAACACTGATTTTTCCCAGCATCTACAGTGCAGTTGAAAGCCATCCAAAGATCTTTCCCTCTTAAGCCTCCGAAGCGTTTTTTCCAGGAGAGCTGCTGCAGAAGACGGCAGATCTAGAGCAGCGTAAGAACTGGTGGCATCCAGGAGCCTTTGGGCAGCCTGGAGGCTGATTTTTCTCAGTCAGAAGGTTCTGCTGAAATAACCAGCGCAAGAAAACGCCAGCTTTAATGGCTGAGGCAGAAAACGCAAACGCTGCCTCTCTGCACCACCTTCCCGCTGCTACTTGGAGCCCTCCATGCTGGGAAAGAGCCTCGCACGGGTCTCTCCTTTCCAAGCGCTCACCAGCCAGAGAACGACGGGGAGGACGATAAACCCGTAGGCAAAGCATTGCAGAAGCATCGCGGTGCAAACCTCTGGACTCTCCTCCTGCCCAGCACCTTCTGGGAAGTGTGTTTAGTCTCTCGCTGGGTACCTGGACATTTACAAGAAAGGCAGGAAATCCTCTTCTCAAAGAACTGCCCTTCGTTCAAAACCTTCTGCAGTCTCTTTCCTTAAAGAAACTCTCTACATTACTTTGTTTGTTAGCACAATGACAGCCACTTACCCCACTCTCAAACATTG